CTTCAAGATCGGTTCATGTCCCTGCCTTCGCCATTCTCAATGCACTTTTTCCCGCTCTTTGCCCAAAGGTTTGGGCACTGTGGTGTATGCCCCGCACACCGATAGCAGTTACCTTTTGAACCGCTGACCTCTACTTTCTCCCGGTCTGCACGACTTCTGAAAACCGAGTTCTAAATTTGGCAGCAAACTCCGCCCACTTTTGTACTCGCGCACAACCATTAACATTCAACTACTTCCTTAACCTCTATCCACTTTTTTCATGCTCTCTAGGGCTTCTTGGAGCCGGATTATGAGGACTTGTAGAAGACCTGCTCAGGGTGTACTGAGGGTGGGCCCCCGCTCACGTCATATATGCTAGGAACAGCTCAGACATTGTTTCCCTGCACCGATTTTGTTCCTCTCTATGGGCTGTCTCCGAGTCGATTATGAATTTTCCCCCGAAGGTGGGTCTTCCAACTCGATCTGAATCACCAACGTATACCTTTACCTTCTTTTCGAGCTAGTTTTGAGGCTATTTCGGAATAGTATCTGAAATCCTGGTCGTCAGTACACTCATTTCGATGCACGCCACGCCCACTGTGGGCGGCTAGCTGATGTGTGTTTTGTACTTCTCGAGACCTTGCCCACCCATCCCACACTTGACCCGGTCTCTCCAGGCGGATCCCCAGGAGCTAGGGAATTTCGTGACATACAGAACGACAGGTGACAGACGGAGCACTTTATAGAAAGTAGTAGGATAGGGTATATTATATATGTATAATATACCACATGGTGCCGGCGCGCACAATACAGTCTTGCTGCGATATGGGATGGTGCGGCGTGAAATTTGAATTTGACTCATTTTTCTAAAATTTGGCTTGATATAGTGCAAATATTTGACTTTGGTTAGATCCTATTCGCTTGTCGCATGCTCCATGCACCTATGATTTTGGACCTCTTCTCCTTTGTCAAGCATTGTCCGCTTCTTCACGGTCTCTGGACTGATAGTTTCGTGGTAAACAGCTTATTTCGTCGCATGCCCACCCAACTTTTCTCTTTCGCCAATCTTTTCCCAATTTTTCCCCAGCCTAAACTGTCACATGCTTGGCCGCAAATCCCACTTTGGTGCATGCTCCGTTCACTGAAAAAAAATTACATCGAAAATCACGACACCTTTGACTTCCGTTTCACAAGGCATCAATTAAAGAGTGAGGATTAACTCTTAGTTTTTCATACTCAAATAAGAAGCTTTCTGGAGAACCTGGCACACATCAAAATTCGCGCGGAACTCCTGCAAGCGGAGCTTCCTCATTGTTTTCAAAACGTGGCCACTTGAATCTCCCGAATCAAAACTAGCGGTTCGCGGTGTCAAATGATGAAGGCGAGCATCTGCCGTTAACATCATGAAGACATCAATGGATTCAAAGTGCATCATGGTCGCTGGAAGGCGCTCGAGGCCGTTTACCAACACTTCGCGGTCAGCTCATTTCCGAGAGAACTTCACTTTTTTTAGCGGAAACTGGCTACTTGAAAGGGCAATGTGATTATTTGAAAAGGCATGTAGTTTATCGTTGTTCTCTATTTGTCTTTTTTTTAGTTGTACAGATTTTCCATGACCACTTCATCTACTGTAATTTGTGGCCACCCTGTGTATTTATATATGAAAAATCGATATTTACCTCGATTCGAATCGAATGACCCATCTACATATTAAAAACAAATTGCAATCTATCACTCAACATCATAATAGCCTTCTATTAGGTTGTCCGAAAATTAATGCCGGTTTCAATGTCTCATACTTTATTTGATATTTTTCCGAGAAATTTCCATACGATTGCTGTACTATTGCATATCGTTGGAAAGCCCATTTCATTCTCTTTCTTGCACGGCCATTGTATTTTGATGGGACTCGGGCCTCACTTTTTTTAAAGGTTTGAAGTGAAGGCGTCAAAGTAGTGGTTTGAGCAGGTTCACTTCTATGAGTTGAAATTTGGAGAGGGTGCTGTGCGGACAGCTCGGAATAGGATTGCTGTGTGGGGCTAAGGATGTTGCAATAAAAGCACACTGCTTCGATGGCTCCGAAGCTTTCAAGTTAGGGAAATCTAGATTCGAAGTGAGGGGGGTTACGGACGGCGGCCTTCTGAAGACCCGGCAGAAAGATTTCCAAACAAGTGTACGGCAGCCAGCAGCATAACCTTGAGCAAGCATACTGAAATTTTCGGAGCGCCTGAAGGTACTTGGGAAGGTAAGAAAGCTGGACAAGTGGGTACCGCATGAACTGACTGAGCAGCAGCAAAGTCACCTTGCAGGGATCTTGGCACAACTTTTTTTACTCAACAAAAATGTCCGACTCTGGAACTTTTCGTCATCCTCGACGGAAATAGGACCCTTCGCTATAGAATAGAGCAATTTTCCAAAAATCTAAACAACTACGAACATCAAAAACTTTTTCCAAAGTAGAATTTCTACAAGGTGAGGACCATGCTGATGGTTTCGTGGCCTTCCGGAGTAATGATGCATCGCAGCTTTCTGAACCCAGGTGATTTTGGTAGAGCATCAATGTCTGTCCATAACATCGATATAATGCTCCGTAAAGAGCAAGGCCTCTAACCAGAAGAAGGAAAAGAACTGTTCTCCATGTTGACGCCCAGCCACATGTCGCACAAAGGTCTTCGTAAGAAAGGGATAAATCAACCTATCCAGCTTTGCTTCTTACAGTGCATTCGCAGGATCTCACCCTCACCAACCTCCTGTTTTCCGGCAATCTCGACAGCTTCTTGGGGAGAAAAAGATTTGAAAACCGAGACATGATGGAAAAGACCTTGGCCGATATTTGAGCTTCTATTGTTCCTGTATCTCAAGTTCGTTAATTAAACCAGTACGCTTCCTGTTAAGAAAAATGAGTAGTTTCCAACACTTTTTTGAATTACTGAAAATGTTGAGTTTGAGCTGAGATATGTTGCTTTGAAGACGGAGGTCAAAAACCGGCATTAATTTCCGGACAACCTAATACATCTACGGCATCAAAAGATTCTCACAGGGCAAGGTCCACGGTAGCTCAACAAGGTCGGGATCATGGGAAATCACGATCAAATTATCTAAACGCTGGTCAAAAGCGATTAGAGCTGCATAATTAGAGGTAGTGTCTCTACCTATCCATCACTCAACCGATTGAGGAGTTTACACAGGAGCTTTCACACCGGAACGATGATGGTAGGCCTACTTGACTTGACTGTGATGGCAGATTATGTTATATTCTGAGGACGGTGAAGGCATTGAGGGGGTCTGCTCCTCATATAAGAGGACATCTGAGAAATATTCTGCCGCGAAACCTAGATCAACAGCGGCACAATGCGCGGCGAAAAGTTTGGTGATGTGCACCATGAGCAATCTCTTTTTCGTATGCGCACCCCCCCCACCTTGTATATATCTTACCAGATTAGTCCCCCGTCAACCGCCGGGACCTTCCTTTCCTGCGCAAGCTTTCTATCCTCCGCTATGGTCCCTTCCTCCTGTGACACCAACACCTGGGAAGTGACGCGTATGCAACACAATGGTGTTTCATACAGTAGAAGGGACACAATCATGATATGACGGTAGATTTTTCGCTTCCCTTCCTCATCCTCCCTTCCTCTCTCCACTGCCCTCCAGCTGCCACTGCAGCACCATGTGGAATGAACGGAAGTGTGCTAAGCAGGTGTTTATATAGCCCTAAGAGTGTTATCACAACTATCCTGCTACAAAACATTGATATCTCAAATCCTGTAAGCTACCCGATTTGTTAGCGGTTTGTTTATCCCATGAGCTTCCTTCTCACTCACTTCATTTTGCGGACGGACACACATACATACATACACACACACATACAGATACACAAACCGACACACAAAGTTAGCGCTTTATAAAATAGAAGGATTCTGGGCTCACCTATAATGTCTTCAACTACACTGGGTTCTTTTCGATCGTTCCAGGAAAGAATGGTGAAAGAAAAAATTAGAAATTTCACTCCAACTCACCATTAGTCGTCAAAATAGATTTTATGGCCATCAGTCCTCTGTAACTCCGAAGTGCTTCGATAGGACAAATAATCGAGGAAGAGTCTGCGCAGGCGTCGACTGCTACAACGTCATATTTCCTACCTAGGAGACAAGATCACAACAGTAGATGTAAACCTGTCTGACTATTTGCTATACAGGTAATAAGTTAATACTATACAAGTGAATAAGGTAAATAGTCAACTGTCGACGTTCTCTTTGAGATACTCGAACCTTCATGAGAGGCAATTTCTACGAACTTCACGCCGTCGGCAGCAATAACATGATGATTTTTTGAATCAGTTACCTCGAACCATTTGAAAGCAATTTGTATCATTATGTGGTCCAGCTCAACCACGGTTATATTGAGCTGAAACAAATTCTTTCAAATACAATTTCATAGAAGAATCGAACATTTGGCGCGAAAGCTGAAACTCAAAAGCAATTTCATTTCGCAATCAGATAGTTTGAAGCGCGCTTATTGGATTTATCCCATCAGTGAACGAAACGGCGATTCACAATCTCAGAACTCCAGCTAAGTTCGAAGCCGTGCAATCCATCAAAAAACTTAATGCTTGCGCGAACCAAACCAGGGACATAAGAAGATTTTCTCAAGGGAACATGGTGCATTGTTTGAGCTTAACGAGGTCCTCGACGGATCGTGGACCGTTACGACGCCACCTGAAACCATAGTTGGAAAGGTCTTGCATAGTCAGAGCTACTGTCTACGAAGCTATGCATCAGTAAGCCGAATGAAGAACAGCTGTGCAACAGCTTTTGTCTTTCGACCTCACGTTGGGCTTCATCCGATGCAGCGCCATATTAAAACTTCCACCACCAAGTCCTATCACCAGTACTTGTTTTCCGTCATCAGCCGACCGCAAGGAAAGAGACGACATCAAGAAGGCCTGAGGTCACCATTCCAGCTATCTAAATTTTTTAATGGTCGTCTTCAACCCTCGATACGAACGAACAAAATCAAATGAGCGATAAAAATGATGCATTGAAATCGAGATGTTATCATTGTTATCCACAAATTTATGAGAACTCAAGGTAGAACAAGCGACACTTTTACATTCCTGAGACTTTCGAGATTCACTAGAAATTTCGAAGTAACAGAAGATGCTCACTAACTCTCAAAGTCCTGGGGCTAAATTTCTGATTCACTTTTTTCTTTTTTTTGTTTTTGTTCTGATTCACTTTTTTCTCTGCCGTCTCGTTGCGGAATAGTCCATGATCGACCTTCTTGCAATCTTGCCATGGTTAGTTCAGTAGGAATGATTCTTTGAGTCCACTGAACTAACCATGCCAAGATTGCAAACATAAAAAATTCAATTTTGAAAGGCTTGAAGAGTCATTCCTACTGAGCTATCTCGTTGCAGTTAAGACTACAGCATGTCCCACTTCATTTTGTCCAGAAATATTATTTTGGAAGAATCTGTTCGATAGCTCAAGGCATGCGGTAGCTCGATTTCTATTGTACTTAGAATGTACCCTGGAATCTCTTGAGACTGGAGCAATAGTGCGGAAACCTCATAATCTGAGGTTTTGGTGCAACACAGCTCTTTTTTTCATATCGTGTACTGGGACTAGAATGTACCTAAAAGGTGCTTGCTACTTAATTCTTGATTTATTATACGTGAACAAACTCACATAAGATGACGGGATAAGTGTGCGATCAATCAACCAATTTTCATGGTCAAGGCAGCTGGTGTCGTTGGCTTGGTTTTGCCCTCACCTGAAGTTACTCTTTGATGCTTTCTGTCTATAACAATTACATGTTGAAAAACAATTCATTGCAAATGAGAAAGAAAGTTTGGGTGTATGCTGCAAATTTAGAAGGGATGGGACCGTTGTAGGCAGTAAACTGGGCTGGCTGTGAACTGGAAAAACCTTTCATAGGTAAGCGTGGGCGAAAATTACAAAGTGCGCGCTCGCGGAACTTTTCCGAATTCTCTAAACTATGTTGACCTGGTTGCTTTTTGTACAAAAAATGTACTTTTCGTCCTTCTTGGCTGTCATAAACACCCGAAAGGTAGCGATTTCGATAGGCTCTGAAAAGGTTCGGAACGGGCATGAAAGTGCTCACCAGTGCGCTTATAGCGCAGAGTCCGTCAAGAGAAGGCGGAACAGGAACCTTTCGTGTTGCCGTTGGTTTTTGCGCACGGACAGGATAGGATGGTGGATGTATGGACGAAATCTAAGCAGCACCTTTCATGGCTCCACGCCAACCAGTGCTCTAGTCAAATTGCTCCAGTCGTACTGCTGCTGGCAATACAGCTCGTTCAATAAACCAATGTGGCGCATATACTTCACCGATGCCTTCCACTTTATTGTGAGCTTCCATCAAAGCAACAGTCCAAGCAGGGTCTGTTACTTTCAATACTATTGGGGATTAAGGATGCAGTAGCCCTAGCGGAGAACATATGAAGTGTAAATGTTAACAGAAATCACCTCTGAAAGCCGCAAAAAGGCGTCAAACTCCTCAAAAGTGGGTGTGGTCGGAAATTCTCCGGGTACTCCCACTTGCCAGCCGTGATTGGCTGCGGAGGCATTCGTGATCGTTTTGGGACCACAGGGAGTATTTGAACTCGGTCCTTTAAGCAATCAATGTGGTGATGCCGACTACGCTGGATTTCTACATTTTTCCTTCTACCTTCTACCTTCAAAACATGAAACGATTTCATTATTGCGCCCCAATTGCAATAGCTGGCTGGCTATTGCCAGCAATTGCAATTGGGGCGCATTTACTGCGGGCATGTTCAGACAACTCGTCCAACACGCGTCTTCTCCATTGCTAAGTGGCAGAGGGGAGTCCCTGTCTAAGCCCCTGCCCGACGTTTTTTTCTACTTTTTCTTTCTCCATTGACCAACTTCTCACCTGCAACTTCATTATAGGTGGTTTTTACCCGCGAATTCGTTCCTTGGATTGTTGCTTTAATAAAGCGGTTCATCAGAATGGTGAGTGTAGCCGATTCCCGAGCCATGACTAACAGTGCCTCGGCAAGACTCCCGGAAAAACCCACCAAAGGCTAAAGCAACCTGAACACTGCGGTTGCTACTGAAGTGAACTTGGGCCTCTTTGGAAACAAAAAAGCTTGTTTGAGCGGAAGAGGCGATATCCAACTACAGTCGTCATCCAATTTAACACATTCACGCCGATGGCCGCCCATATGGGCTGCCAACAACATGCGCTCCTGGGACGATGGCAGCCCATATGGGCTGCCAACTGATAATCGCTTGCCAGGCGCTAGGAATGGACAGATAGGTGGGCAAACCTCGTAATCGAGTGTAAAATGCTTTTAAATTCCTTCACGGGGAAAGTGAATAAATGCTCTCTTTTCGTAACCACTATTTGTCGTTCTGATCGAAATCCTACTGTTATATGTTTAGATAATCTTTACGCATTGGACATTGCAGAAATTATTTTGTGACATTCATGTTTTTGTTCATTTACAAAACAAAATCTGCGGAATCGCGTCCGCCCCACGCGACCGAAAAGTGGAAAAGGGGCGTCGTCGTGAATGTGTGAAACTTGTTCGAAGGCTGCTCAGAAATCGGGTGCAGGACTTCTGTCGACCGGACAGTGAGAGTGTACATGGTAGGGCACACTCTCTTCTTAGACATTAGAGGCTACGTTTTGCAAAGAGAGTAAAGAAAGCTGAGATGCTGTATTAGTATTCTTACATTTGAGAACTCTCAGATATCACTGCAAAGCGCTGAGTTGCCCAACGGCTGATAGAAGTCTTGTGACCTCGAAATCCGGAATCCCTGCAGGTGGCCCATGAACGTGTTTGAACTTGCTTGTGGGCTACTATGAACACATTCCTAGAGTGGCGAAGAGGGCACATTTTCTGCTTTTCATGGCCTGCTACTCGCTCACGAGTAGGATTGTTCCAATGATCTAATCGTGCCCTTCCATAAGGTTGGGAAGCGAATGTATTATTAGATTAGTTCAAATCTACAAGGTGGACATAAACTACGAAAACCCAGAAAAAGAACCCACGAATACTAATGTGTTTGTGCTAACTGTAAATAATTCCATGTTAGCTAGAAAACAATATCCAACAAAAATCTGGATGTTTCTTTATTGCACCGAGTAAACCTGATTACGAGTAGCCAGTTGGTGATATTGATAGTTAATAAATGGTATTATAAATATTCACAATTGAATCTTGGTAACAACGTTAGCATTTACAACCGCAAAAGACTAATCGTTCCCTCAACAGCAAGCTATTGCATTTTGTGGAGGCCGTCGTCACTTCCTTTGAAAGGTGAAAATGGGTCTGCGAGCATATTGACACAACGCCATCTCTTTCCATTTGATAAAATTTTTCCGTGATTTCTGAATTTGGCTTGGCCCTCTCCCAATAATGGTTGATGAAACTTGCTATCCATACTATTCAATTGACCTACCCAGCCACCAACTCTATGTGCAAATCTTATGACAAAACACGAAAAAGTAGCGCTCCTTAGCGGGCACTTCAAAGAGGAAAAACCATCGATCGAGAAAAGTGAACGAAAACCTTTCGCCTGCTTTCTGCGTATCTTCTGTGAGTGACAGAACGAGCTTGGCTAAGAGACGGTTCTTAGCCGATGTGCTCTCGCAGCTGCTGCGTGCTCTGTGTTGTCGAAGTCCTGTTATAAATTGAAGCAGCAGTTACACCGCGATCGCTAGTACGATCGCACCGTCCTTATTTCCCACTCTGTTCTCAATACCAATGGGCGGGAGCGTTTCTGCCTGTCATCATGTGCGATCAACCTGAGCTCATGTGAACTCTGTGGAATAGAGTTCTTCGAAAAATTTGGAAACACGTTGCGCACCAGGATTCACCTCCGGACGGGTTGAGTAGATGGAGACCCCTGGCAGTTCATCGATTCACTGTTATGGAGGCGCGGATCAATACTGAAAATCCACACAGGAAAAGGAACAGTAAAAACAGCAAACAAAGTAATACTGTGCGCTCCACAGTGAGCTGACTGGTGTTTGTTATTTATGACTCTCGGATGCTTCTAGTCTATGGGGACTACTTCGAATTGGGAGTTCACATCTGCGGGAGGTTGCACTAATCTTCGACCTCCAGGCTCTGACGAAGGCGACCTAGCCGAAAGTCGAATAACGTTTGCACTATCTGACCTGAGGAAGAGCAGGACGCATATGTCCCGCGCCTTGCAGGCCACGTGGGACACGGCAGGATGTATCTATGTTGCACTCATACCATTCGTTTTTCGCATACGTGTATCTTAACCCTAGATGTTTTGTGCCCATTCTAGACTCCACATCACAAGTGGATCCGACCGCTATGCAAATTTGGTTATTAGTGGTTCGATGACAGC